TATCGTAAAAATAGGAATTGGATGAGTGAAAATTGTCTATCGGCATCAGTATTTCTGTTTCCGGCGCAACTACTTGAAAAGTTAAACAAAAAGTCAAAAATTGCTATTCTCTATTAAATTTACTAATCAGTTTTTGGGAGCATTAGCTTGCTGCAAACACATAGAAAATCGGTTTTTTTGCATAATTAACGCTACGCAACGTAGGGAGTTGAAAGCCGATTTGGTACCGTCTGCAATGACCCATTTGTGGACCCAGCAGGTCTACTCGCATCAAAAGTCACCCTCTTGTTCCTGGCTCACTAAAGGCTTTTGAGCAAGTCAGCCGAGAATTTTTTTCATTATTTCATCGGCTCATTCAATGAAAGCTCCTTCTTGTCTAAAACGTTAAGAAAATGTCAACCGTGCCTCTGAGAGCGTGTGTATTTTGCAGTCTCTAAACTGATGCTTCTAGTTGGCTCCGCCTTAAGGCAGATCATAGTTTAGGACAAAAAGGGAATAAATGAGTAAAGTTGAAAATTGCCATTGCCAAACTCGTCAATGGGCTGCTACTAATTAGATTTTATGACTAGGAATTTCATATATTGAAAGTGTTCATCATATTTCGTTTAAGGTGGGTAGGCGAGGCTGTGTGAAATTCAATTGAAACGTAAAGTCACTTCATATCATTTTGGGAAAATGCAACTACCAATCCTTATCCGCCTTAAACGAATTATGGTGAACACATTTCATATATGTGATTTAGTGGTAATCGCGAAAACCTAATTACAAACGAAAAATAGCAATTTCATGTAATACCCCTTGAAGTATAAGAGTCTTTGTGGATCTATGGTGTCGATGCAGCTTCGTGTTATGCTTCAATTGGCGTGATACTTCCCTATCCAGGCCGTAAGGCAATAATTTATTTATTTTTTATAGTTTATGTTTTATTATATATTATACTTATATATATATATATATAATATTTTATTTTATATATTTTTATTACACCTATTTTATAGTGTAGTTGGTCACTTTTTCACGGTATGCGGAATTTTTGCACTTTTTGGGTTGCTTTTCAATTCGAGTACCATTTGTTGACATAATCAAAGGGAAAGGATTCTGACTGCCTGGCTAAGTGGAAATGAGGACACTTGATGCTTATTTATCGAAATTATGGCATAATTTGTCCTGAGTTGTGGTGATGTGTAAGCGAACAGAGCAAGCAGACAATTCATTTCCGGATGATGCCGTGGTAAGCAAGTCCCATTGGAGGCCGACTGCTCCTTGGTCTGGTGGGAGAAACAGGCAGAGCGAAGGGACAATTAATGGAATCTTCATCCTCATCCTCATCCTCCTACTCCTCCTCTCCTCCTCCTCCTTTTCCTCATCATCATAATCATCATCCTAGGTTTTTCTTGTTGGTTAATCAAATTATGTTGCTTATCAGTTATGTGTCAATGAATGTTTTCTCTTCTCGATTTTGCCTCACCTCGAACCAGATGGCCGAGATCAACGACAAAAACACAAAGATCGGACAGATGGCCGAACAGATGGAGACCAGTGCCCGTTCGAAAAAGCAGGATGCGGACAAGTCGGTTCGAGATGTTGAGGTGTTGCGAAAACAGTTGCGTGAAGAGAAGAAGATGAAGAAAGCGGCTATTCACAAAGTCGACGATCTCCTCTCGCAGGTGAGTGACCCTACAATTCGAGAGCCTCTACAGACGTTGGGAAATAACTGAGTGTAGACTGGGACATTCGGTTGCCATTTTACGCTAAAAATTGTTGTTGACTTTAGCAAAGAATCCACTTGAATAGAAAATGACAACTGATTCGTCTCGGGATAAATCGTTCTACCGCGATTTTGTAAATTGTGTCCCGTTGTCAGGGCGACTGGGATAAAAGAAATCTTGCTCAAAGTCCTCTGGTATGCATAGTCAGGCTAATCTCCACCCTCGGATCGTGAACTTGGTACATTCCCAGACCTTTCTTCGGCATCGTTAGTGAGCCTTGTCAAGCTCATCAAAAAAACATAACGCGTCAATTAATGTGCGGTTGGTGGATGTACCAGAATACAGAAATTCGTCAAGAGATGGAGTTCACTTGTCGCCTTGACAAGTTGTAGCTTTGTATTGGAAGTGGCAAAACTTGCTTATGACACCGGATAAACGACTGGGTTCAAGGTTTGAAATTCGCAGGATTATGTAAGAAAATGGAGTTTGAACAAGTTACATTTATCTCGGTCGCCCTAGCAACATTACAAATTTGAAGAAAGCAGCGTCAAACCACTTGTGTAAAGCTATAAGTTACCACCACCCACACCATTTTCGTCTTCATTTTTGTGATCTGAAATCCAATTTTATATGAAATTTGCTTGTACATACCCAATTGATCCATATTCTGGTGACTTGGTCGTTTCCCCAACAGACTGTGAAACACTCCTAGTCATTACTCTGTCCCCTGGCATTGCTTGTATGTCTTCTTTAGGCATTTGTAGATTTCGCAATCTGGTTAGTTGCGTTTTCATTGGCACATCAAACAAGAAAGCTTAGTCGAGTTTATAATTTGGGATTATCGGTTGCTATTCGGCTTAGATTTTTTGTAGGAATTAGGTAGTGCCCAATTGTATGACTGATAATTTTGAGTTCTTAAATTACATTTCGGTCGTAGATAAACCATATCGACAGAGCATACGATGAAAATTTCGGCTGCTCTCACGGGTAATATTGTGATGAAATAGGGTTTAGAAGATGATGGGCAACATTATGAGAAGAAACGCTGACTTTCGAGCAATCCCTGAAATAATTAATTTGACTCGTTTTTTATTTCGAAGCTAAATTTGACTGAAATGGACTTAGTTATTCGTGAATTGGCCTCACCAGAAACCAAATCAAGATTGCTTTAAAGCAAAGACTGTTACATTTGCAGCTTTGAGCCTACCCCAACGGAAGACACCACATTCTTTCTTCAACTCCTCTCAGGTCCGACTCCCGTCAGGTCTGGTGATTAGACGTGCCTGCGGAACTTCGACATGCTCCGACGTGAACGACTACTTCATAGCATTGTGATGGGGACCTTCATTTCATATGAAAGTTATATTTCTCTCTGAAAGATGGCATAACAAAAGAAAGTGTGATGGTTTCTTTGAACACTGTTTTTATACCACAATTCTTCCTTTTTTAAGAGAAGGCATGACGACAAAGTTAGGACATGGGAAAAAGTCTCAGTCTGTCTCTCTTCGACTAAATGGTCTCCGTCTGAAAATGTATTCCTCAGTAGAGAGATATTATTCTCAATAAGGAGAAATGAGAATCATTTTCCAGGAAAAAAAATTTCAGTCGTTCCAACTCTTTAGTTAAATGTTTGCTATCCGCTAGCCTCATACTTCTAAGAATCATTGACTTCAAAATTGCAACCTTAGTCTTGTAACTATGGTTGGAAAGAAAAGTAAACAACAAGCCAACATATGTTGTCTTCCTATAAACATCTCTTCCTAACTCACTCTCTTCTCTAATGCTGAGAACATCCAGAAGGGGTAAGGACTTATTCTCCTCCATTTCCATTGTGAACCAAATGTTCCTTTCACGGTTATGATAATTGGTTTCGTTGCTTGATTTACCTGCTTGTATGAGCTTGTAAGCTCATATCTCATTATCTCAACCATACTTGCTTATGGGCTTTCTCTTGAGTCATTAGGTCTTGAGGATCAGAACCTGAGATGAAGACTTTGACAACTCTGTTTTAGCACCGGTATTGTGTATAGATGCTAACACACACATACACACATGCACACACTCCAGCAAAAGCAGCAGGACCAGTATGAAATATAATTAACCAAACCACTCAAAACCCATCTGGGTTTTTAGTTTTTTATTTTATTTTGGCTCAATTGAGTGTATATAAGAGACAAGATAGAGCTGGATAGTCTTCTTGCCATCTTCATCATGCACTTTCATAGGAAATGAAGGTCTCCCTAACAATGTTATTTCAGAAAAATCATCAAAACCAAGTTTCTCTTTGTATCTACTTCATAGCAAGCAAGGATGATCCAAACTGAAGCGTGCTCTTCAAGCGGCATATTGGATTCGAGCCAACAACGTATTGTCTCGGAGACCAACAAATCGGGGCGTATCTCGAAAAGTGGAAATGTGCTTCCCCTAAAATCCTCACGTTCAAGAGGCCTTATACAGTTGCTATGTAGAACAACTGAATTTTAAAGAATCCCTTAACAAATTCATGTTGGAGTGCTTTTCATTTTAGTTTGGAGATGCGAGTGTAATGGGATTGACTTGGAACTGTGAATGTCGATTTATGCGAATGGGTACTCGGTGCATCGGCCTGCGATCCCGATCACTCCTTGCTGGGCTTTCTGTTCTGATGATGTCTGTCACATGACGGATGAAAGCTCAGCAAGGATTGATTAAGGTCGCAGGGCGGTACGCTGAGGATCTATTCGCACAAATCTACAACCACAGCTCCAAGGCAACCCTTCCACAGCATCCGGTGGATCCAACTTATAAATCCCTCCAACTCGCCTCTTAAAACGAAATGAAAGGTACTTTATCATCAACTTATACAATTGGATTAAGAATAGCTAATTGTGAATAGAAACACATAATATTATAAATAATTATGTAATAAGTTAAATATATATTTTTCCTGTATTTTCGGAACCTGAATGCTGTTGGGATCTTCACTTTTAGGCATCTAAGCGATATTAAGGGCTAAATTCAGCCCATTTCTTTTTGGATAATGAAGGAATATTTGTTGAATTTTCCTACAATCGTATGATTTTATGCCAAAATAAGCTGACTACAGCTCTTTCGTAATTATCCTCAAGCATTGCCGGTATGGCGCACTCTGACTTTTATGCATGCACACTTGTGCACATACACAGACACACGCATGCAAGTTAATATGAAAGGAAACTAACCAAATCATTTTATATCCATCTTTAGTAATATATTCTGGTTTTCACTTATGAGTATTGCATGTAGGATGGAGTCGAATAGTCTTTTTGATGTTCGTATTAAGTGGGTTTCTATACCACCAGTAAATCTTGCAAAAGAGTTCTAGTCGACCTGGGTCACTTAAGATGATAAAGGACTGATAGTTTAATTATACCCTCAAGGATATGATTAGGCCAACTTGTATTCTTGTGGGAAATTCAGCCTACCAATTATCCATAACCTTAGCCAAAATGGGGTGAATGAATTTATTGCATAAACGTAAGACATACTGCAAGTCTCTAAAGTCCATTTAACAAGAAAAAAAGGACAAGATTAAAATTGCATTCCAGTTTGAGAAATAAAAACTGTTAATATTCGTTGTAAAGTGAAATTTTATGCAAAAACCAAGCACTTTTTAATTCATCATGAACAGTCTCGGTACAGCTCCGACGTGGAAGAGTATCGCGACAAGGCTGATACCTCTTAAGGTGGAAAAGGGACAATTATAGACCACCAGCCTGTATGTCAGCACACAGAAAAGCAGCAATACACGCAAACATAAGGTCCGTTGGCAAGTTTTGAAAGAAGAGAGCGACTGTATTGAGTGGCTGAGTGTACCAAACGTGAACAGCAAATTGGTCCTGCACGATTAAAGCATGTAAGAAAAAAAAGGTACTTGGATTCGAGTGTACCGGAAAATGCAAGGGTCAGACGTAGAAGTTTAGGCAAGATTCGGTTGAATGGACCGGTCAAGCAGAAAAGACAGCAGGATAACAATACCAAGACAATACTTCACCAAAAGACAGTTAATCAATTGGCCAATTAGTTGGCCATTTGGCTGCTCACTTGGTTGGCCACTCAGTTTTGGGCTGTTCGGTTAGTTTGTCAATTAGTCTATACTTCATTGTCGAGTTGTTAAATCATGCATCCATTTGCCATGTGATTTGCATTTTACCTTTAATTACTCTGTGGGCCAGCATTATTTGGTTAGTCCATTATTTGTTATTCTTTTAGGCCTATTGAGTAGTAAGTTGTGCATTTAGTTGTCTGACTAGCTTTCGGTGATGTGGTTGTATTTATGTTTTTATATTATGCTCTACTTATTTATGTGACTAGTTGGGCAGGTGGGCATGGAGTCGTTCAGTGGATTACTTACTCTTTCAATTAGTTATTTTGACCAATCACCGATTCAGTTATGATGTTATCCTCAATATGATATCCACAAAGTTATTCTCGACGAAAGTGTTCATCGTCAACTTGTAGGCTTGGTCAAATCGCATCCATTCCAGCGTCCGAATGGTGCACGATTTGGCGTGGAAAATGTGCTCTCCACCAAACGGTCTATTCGGGCGTAAGGGCAAGTGTGAGCACATAAAATGCAAATAATCCGCTTCCGACCAATTCTGTACGGCCGTTTTGCAGTTTTCGCATCTCATTATCCACTTGGCCTACCCACCTCTACCTCCGGCCGAGGTGGATCTGCATAGTTGCCTAACACTTGAGCCTAGACATGCGGAAAGACTCACAGTCGACTGCTAACAATCGAGTATTAGGCCACACTTGGCAATGTACCAACTTGCAATTGTTCAGTTGGCTGACTAATCTCCGCTAAGGCACCGGTCTACAGACAGAAGCCTCTGACGAAGGCAAGCAGAGCGTCGAATTGCAGAAGGTGAGGCTACATTTCCACCGAGTCCGACCGGCCCCGGTGACAAGGACGCCTGATCCACTTCGGACGCGTTGTCATGTGCGGAGGCTAGAAAGAGAGAGAGGCAGAGAGCTGACGCAAAATTAGCATGTTCGGGCCAACCCTATTGTTTTGTGGTCCGTTTGGAGGTCGACTCGAGGGTTGACTGAGTTTTAGGGGAACATTCAGGCAGGCTGGACAGCCAAGTTTGCCCAAAATGACGGATTCACTGTACTCGTCATTTTGAAGGTGATTTGACGTGAATCAGCTGAATTGGATACCGAAATATGGTTGCTATGGAGTGTAACCTATTAAATGGGAATTTTGTTAGCCCAGAAGGCTCAATGATAGACTAATAGTGGAGTTTTCCCACACCATCAGATGAGTAGGAAAAGATAAACTAGCAGTCCTTAAATCAACTTCAGCGATCTAGTTCTTATTCAAGATTTACTGATATCCCTAACAATCACTTACATCGACTATTTCATTGTGTCTTTCGACATGTCAGACATAACGAAGAAGATCAGAGGTTAGAA